ATTACATCGTACAGGAGCACAAAATATGCATTTAACAAATACAGATGATCATTATTAGTAAGTAGGAAGTATGTAATCGTGTTCGATGCATTATTGTTCGTACTTAATACTTATTATACGTTCTACATATACCTTAAAGCCTCAGTATACTTTACAGCCTGTGTAAAATTATAATTTCTAATTGGCCCTCCTTCGTGGAATGCCCCTGTATATTTTTTATCCAGCATTTGTATCACGAATATTTATTCATAAATACGACGTAAGTGTCAAACATAATAAAATATTAATGAAAATTTTTAAAGAAACCCACAGCGACTTCTAAATAAGGATTCGAAAGACAGTGAAAGAATATTAGAATTATACCAATCTTTTATTAATTGTAAATCATGTTGTTTCAAATCGTTAACATATTATTGTTTCATAAGTATCAAAACCAGATCTAGCTATATTCTAGTTGCAAGCGAGCAACGCCTATATCACATCCAAGACCGTGTGAAACGTATGAAAGATCCACTTTAACATTAACATAAAACATGTTTTTGTAGTTTTATTAAAGGGCTGCACTGTCCTCTAGCAGTATTGAAAGGAAGCAGTTGACACTGTAGATTTGAATATTGAATATAATCTTCACTCTACAGTTTAGTGTCATTGTCTACTGTTTAATGTCGTGTCATTTTAGTGCCATTGACACGTTTTTGTTTATTTTAATACGACTTTATTCTTATAGCATGAACGAATGGAATATTTTTCTGTGATTTATAGTTTTAAGGTTATGTTTTTAGAAACCTTCATTCAGATACATTTTTTAAATAAAGAAAGGATTAATGTTAGCGCTTTGAATCTTTTTTCTATTGAGCATCTGCATAGAAACATAAAATTCACAAAACATTTACAAATCTTTTATCTCAGATTTTACTTCAATTATTTATAAATGGTGTTTCCGTCATATTTTTAGTTTTATTCCTGTATATTTAATCCTATTATAAATTCTGCTGTAAACAGAGAAATGAAAAAACAAATTGAATTAATAACATTGGGGAACAAAATTTTGTCTGTTTTCTGCTGCATGATATTTTTTAAGAGATCTTGGATACTTTTGTATCGCTGATTTCAAATCTATCATTGGTTGCTCTCTTCAAGCTACAGATTTTTTTTAAACTTTCATTTTCAAACTATTTTTTGATCGAAATGTACAAGATTAGAAACGTTATATATGAGCTGGGGGGGGATCACGTAAATGTGGCGACAGACGTCTAGCGGAGTGAATGCAAATCATCTTGATTAAAATTGCATAGGGATACATTCCCGGAAGTGTCATCATATGCCACTAGACGCGTTTTCCTATAAGGAACTGCTTCCAAGCGCGCTTCCGAACAATAATGGAATAGGGAAGTGCCCCTAACTGCGTGTGACGACATTTTCGGGCATGAATTTCCGATGAAATTTTAATCCTGGTGATGTGCCCTGACTTTGGCCCAACATTTACGCGACCCACAGTTATCCGCAGCGTTTTTAAACTTGTACATTTTGAAAAAAAAAAAGATTAAAAATGTCCCTTAAAAAAAACCCGTAGCCTTAGAAGCAAAGCTAATTTCTGATTCGAAATCCCCACACGCAAGTTTGGCAAAATCAAGTATTTGTATAAACGCAACAAAAAATTAGTTCCTTGATGTAATGTATCGAAAAGCATTTTTGTTGTAATTTTAAGCAATAACGTTCGTATTTATTATTTTATTACTTTAAAGGCATTAATGGTTCATGTCAAGCATATTAAAATGCATCATATCGAAATAAGTTTAAGAAAAAGAAAACTGATAGAAGTTGAAATATTTAAATAAATTTCTTGAATACTCGGCACCCTTAAAGAAAAAAAAAGCGAAACATTTTTTAAGATTTAAAAATAAAACAAATAAATAAGTGATTTAAACAAAAAAAAAATCCCGTATTCAATTAAAAACAAATTAAAAGACTACGATACATTGTCGAATGTCGAACTAGCGACTTAGCTAATTACCGCAGCGAGGAGCTGAACCTATTTTACCATGCATTAAAGAACATATGTCTCCTTCAGCAGCAGCGTTAGAATAAACACTCAATATATATTTTTCTGAGATCATCTAATTGTGTGTGTTTATGCTCTCAACACCCACGGGACTTCTGTACAGTTTCCTTCATTTCTCAGATATGAAGCACGTTACAGTTTTATCATTTTCTAGAATAACGAAAAAAAAAAAACGCCTTCTTCTGGGAATTAATTGAGGTTTGTTTGAGGTTCCAAAAAGTCTTTGGAAATTTAAATAAAAGTCTTATTTTTTTTCCAAGTGAATCAAGTTTGCGAACCAAAAATATTTTCTCGTTAGATTCTTCGTCAAAGTTTCAAAAGAGTGAAGCTTAATTTCTTATAATGATTTTTCTTCACAAATAATTATTTTCAAAAGAAAAATAAAGTATTCAAATACGCTCAAAAATGTTAGATTTTTGGAATTAATAATTTTTTTCTAGAATAGGTTATCGAAATCTTACACAATACTGGATGCTTCGGCTTCTCGTATCAAAAGAAATGACTCATTAATTTTAATTGTTTCCCATAAATGTCTTTGGAATAGGCTCGTAAAATATTGAGGTTTAGTACTTTTTATTTTCGAAACATAATTTCTTTAATTCCCTTTTTTTACAAGTACTTAATTGCCTCAGCGTAACTGCAGTATCAAAAGCTCATTAAAAAGTTTCGTAAATTTAAAAATTCCCATCCAGTTAATTGCGTGCTTTAAATTGTTCGTTCGTAATATTCAGAAGGAAAGATAGATTATTATCGGAAACAAAAGGCAAGAACAAGTTCCATCTCGCCAAAAAGTTAGATTCGATCGATTATTTCTTTTCTGACTCGTAATAATCATCAACATGAGAAGCTTTTCTGGCAGAATAGTAATTAATTTGGGAAATGAAATCGGTACTTAGTGCCAGCGATAACTTTTACTTATTTGTTTTCTGACTTTCGCTTCATTTTCCCAATCGTCGATTTGATTGCGATGTTTGGGAAGAAAATAAATTAGAGGAAATTTTGTTCCGAAAAGAAGTCTGCTCTTCAAATGATAATAAATTCCCTGTGATACATTGCTATTGGAAAATTCGGCTGCTTGCAACAAAACTTGAAAGGAAGGAAATGAGTGCGATATGTTGTGAACGAAGCATGTTTTTGTAATTTAGTTTATTCTCCTAAGAGCTCAGACTGAACTTTTCGAACTGACTTTCGTTAAATTCGTATTAATTGTTTCCGTGGAGACTGAAACAGGTTGCTTTTCAAAAAATATAAGAATATCATCTTGTTCGTTATTAATGTTACAAATTTTATTTATTAACAAAGGGTTTTGTTCTATTGTATTATTTACTTACAATTTTTAGACATTTTAAATTCGTATTGTTTCCTCAGAATAGCATTATTTTGACTTCAGAATTTCCGTCACGTGATCTGACGAAATGCTATTTTTATAGCAATTTTAAGGACTTGTTTTATACAAGTAAATCTATTACTTATTACAGAAAACTCATACACGAAGAAAATTTTTTTAATAAATACTTACAAAATATTAAAATTAATAAAACAGAAAAAGTAAAGTAATATTTTTTTTTATTAATTGAGTGCTATGTTCTGTTATTCATTAACAAATTCTAGACGTTTCACTATTTACAGTGTAGTTATTAAACACGATTATTTTAACTAACCTTAAAACTACCATCCCGTGATTGAAGTGAAACATACTTTATGTAATAATATTAAGCATTTTACTTTTTAGCCTATGACTTGTTTTTAGAAATATATTACAAAAAAAATTGTTTGATTAAGCTTTTGCAAAGCATTGAATAACTAAGAAGAAAGCATCAAATAATAAGCATTTTTTTTATTAACTAGAGGCTAAGCCCCCTGTTCGCTGCCACCCACCGACTCTGACGGTTACTTCACAATAATTGTTGTTTCTTAGCATAAAGTTTTTTCTACGACAGTTGAAATTAATTCACTTCAAATATATATATACATATATATTTGGTGAGTACTTAACCGTAATTTAATATTTTCGCTTACCAAACAGGCTGATTTAGTAAATACACTTTATTTAGTTACAAATTGTGCATGAAGCTGATCATTAAGTTCTAAATCATTTAACGAATTTCCGTAACGGTAGTTAAAAAAAATTACCGCTACGACATATTAATGTAATTTATGCTAAAAAATAATTATCGTGAAACGGTTAATGAATTTAGACACCGATTCAAATCAGTTTATCTTAAAATTGGGTACTTGCACTTCAAGAAGAAGATCACGTATACTACGTCACGTATACATGTGACCTATGACGTCAGCGCCAACTGATCGTCTATAAGCAAAATGGCATGTTGAGGTTGAGCTAAGTTTCTCCAAATGAGTTAAAATGTTAATACAGCACCATATCGCACATCAAATTTATTAAAACATAATTCTTCCTCGTCTACGTCTTACTTAACTTGGATTTATTATTTCTTTATGTATTTTNTAAGGACTGTCGCTAGGCTATATTATACCCAATTATATACAGCACTATATCGCACATCAAATTTATTAAAACATAATTCTTCCTCGTCTACGTCTTACTTAACTTGGATTTATTATTACTTTATGTATTTTATTGTTACCATGATATATTTTTATATTGTGCAGATTAAGATGAAAGATTTTTCGTATATAATAAGATAAGAAATAAGATTTTTCATGTATAGTTAGATGAAGGGTTTTGTACAGTTATTTAAATATTTTTAAGCTGATATTGTAACCACCAAATATAATTCTTTTAACTTTTAACAGTTTCTTCACGTGTTTTTTATAATAGTTTAAAACATTCGATCCATAGCCTATTCCTACTACATGATATCAAAAAAATTTAGAACGAAGAATCAACTTTACGAAACATAAATGTAAATAACACAGAAAAAATAAAATAATGACTATACCCACAAGATTTCAATAAGGATTTATTTATTATCAGGTATGCGATGATTTAATCAGTGGGATTGGCGTCATAATCATGTCTGTAAGTGGTTTTCGTGTGCCAAACATTAGGTCGAGTAAGAAGCCCATTCTCCATTCTTGTGGAAGATTTTTTCCTAAATAAATAAAATAAATCTATTATAGATTTGATGATAAAGACGTAATTTGCATTTTTGAATTCAATCAGACGATTTTTTTTTAAATACTGAATAGATATTTGTTGTTGAAGATTTAAACATATCGAAATACCAAGTAAACATTATATTACCACACAAAGAGCTCATAAAACTAGGATTTTCCAATAACATAGTATAGTAATATTAACAAATAATTTCTTTAGGTAAATACTCGTAATATTTTCTCCTGAATTATTTTGTTACACCATCAAATAATTAAGACACCCAAATAAGACTTGATTAAGCTAACCTATAAAAGCTAATTGCACAAGCTACTGAAGGGAAAAATTAAATATGGAACATGTTGCGTAAGCACCACCGCGTGAAGTACATGTATTTTTTCTTAATCCGTATAAAAAATGAAGCATTTATACGTCCTCTTCAAACATTATAGGAATCACAAATTATGTTATAAATCAATAAAACTTATGTGAGGAAAGAAACAAAACAAAAGCGTTTTAAAAATCTAAAATATACTGACCAAAGGTGTGATTTGCAGTGGTGGGACTCGAAAATCAGAGATGCCACTGCTAATGCAGTGGCATCTCTGATTTACATTACTTTACCCTAAAGTAACGTAATCGATAGTTTTTCTTGGTTTCAACATAGATAGTACTAAGGTGAAAAAACTCCAGTTTCTCCTTGAAATTTTAGTCATGCATTTTTGAATAAGTGAATATGTAAAATTATAACACCAATTTAAAAAAAAGCGTGAAAACATTTTTAAAACGTGAATAATAGCTGCTCATGAAAATCTCTAAAACAGGGGATTCCAACATACATGTGGCCGGAAGCTGCAATTAAAAACACCAGTCAAATGGCGGGCTGCAACAATGTCAAAATTTTAAATGGGACTCTTTTATGTTTGAAGGGACATTAAATATTGCTGTCAGATTTTTATCAAGTTGTTCAAACCAAAAGTATTGAATTACAAATAATAATAAGTATTTTCGTGAATAAATATTTTCTTGGATGCAAAACCTGAGAAATAAATTTGTTTGCCTCGTTGGTATGTTAAATTTCACAGAAACGAAAAAATAAATTTTTTCGTTTTTTTTTAAACGAAAGAAAAGTATTTTAAACCCATATGGATTTTTTACGAAAATTGTCCGCAAAAACATGACAACTAATATATTTTAGTTCGCGGGCCACAAAAAAAGACTTCGTGGGGCTGCCAGTTGGCAACCATTGTTCTAAAATTAAACGAATGCATATAAACTTACGTATTGCTATGATCTGTAACTTCCTTAGCAAATGCACGTTGCACTACCCCTCCAGGAATACAGCTGGCATTTTTATTCACACCATGTTTCCCTCTTGGCTTCTGAATTTCTCTCGGCCACTTATAGTCAGTTTCATAAACGCTTCTTTTTTGGAATTTTCCTTTCTTTCCGACAGGATGTCTCCAATCAGAGGCCATAACAGCTTTTTCCTGATGTGGGAAAGGTTTTTCAATAAAACTGTCACAATAGGAAGATATTTTGTGAAACCACAGTCGCGGTTTCTGAGGTGGGGATTGGAGGGGTCCGCCCACGGTCAGGTTATGACTGGGGCGAATGGGGTCCGGTCTTGAGAAATACTCCGGCCACTGATACTGGTCGGACGTCTCTGTTGCAACTATTAAATAAAAATATTTCTGATTTGTATGACAGTAAATTAATTAAAAAGAATTAATTAAAAAAGTTATTAATTTTATTAAATTTGTTTTAGGCTCATGACCTGTTAGAATTTATAAATTACAAAAAACTCTTATGAATCGTAAAATGACGCGTAAATTTAAACACAAATCACAATAATGAAACGTCCTAGAATATTAAGCCTGTTCACACATCACCTCGTAAGCATAACATAAGCGGAGGGATACATCGGAAGTTTTCTAAATTCCTTCCGGTTTTAAGAAGCTTGTTATTGTTTACATTCAGTCAACCATCCATAACAGTAAGTATTTTTTAGTTACTGTGGTACGGATACGGCTATTGAAACAGCGCAAAACGTATCACCAACTTAAGAAAATATTCATATTATACAGGGTGTAACATTAAATCAATGGGGAGAACTCTATGTAGAATAAAACTTGCCAAAAAAAATTAACGTCCTTTTGTATACAATATGGGGAGAAAGTACAAAAGGTTACCTTCTAGAAGGCATCTGCTTTGTGAAAATAGAAAATACAATAAAGACAAATGAATATTATTATTGAGAACGTTATCTAAAATGCTCAAAACAGTTATTATCTGCAATACAGGCGATGATGGAGTGAATCATGAGAACGTAAGAAGATCCGAGGTGTTCCAACTAGCTTCTGCAGCTGGACGGGTGACAATGCTTTCAAGAAATACTATGGGCATTTCGTAAGCGAATCTTTTTAGATGTCTTCAGAGAAAAAGTTTTGTTAAGACAAATGAGGAGATGTGAGAGGTCAAGACACTGTTTTACCGTCGCCAGTCTATCTGCTTGGAAAGTCATTATCTAAATAGTTTCATCCAACGGACACCTTCTTGTGACTCGCCCTTTGCTTTTCGACCCTTTATTGTATGGTGAATGTTGTTTGTTTTGGCAGATTCTATCATTATTTATGATTGTGACCATCATTTTAAAACTGCATTTAGAAACTATTAGCTATGCTCAGTGCATTTAGAAACTGACAGCAGCAAAACTAATATTAGTACTCACGAAAACTTCTGTCTTGCTAGATAGCTTCGATATTCTATATAGTGGCAGTATTTGCCATGTGCAGTAATACTTATTTGACTGAAATTATTAAAATCATTATAAAAAGGATACTTAGTTCCAACCACATGAAGGCAATGTTAAAGATAGTTAAAATTATTATACTCACCGAAGGCAGTACTACATACATGTTGTACATTAAAGTACACTCATTAAAAGATCGCCCAAGTTCAAGAAAACTGGGAAGTGCACTACAGGCCTTGCCCCTCTAAGGACTGTCGGGCCATTGAATTTTGTTTTATCATATAAAGATCCCCTCACTTTTTTTTAGTGTGGGGGGGGGTACAAGTTCGATGTGCCGCTGATAAATATCGCATGATTCTTCTATCAGATTTATTATCTAGGATAGAAGGATCTTAAGAATCGATAAAATACACATAAGTATTTTTTTTTTGTACTGCAAGAAGGGGTTTGAAATGAAAAGTATAGGAGAAAAAAAAAGAAATACTAGGGTAATGAAAAATATATTTATTGACATAAAACAAATGTGCCAGCACAAACATCGATATAGGCTTGGTAGATTTTTGCACATGGTTGGCGTACTGCAATTCCAGTAAGTGGAATACTAATATAGTGAAGTATCACTTGTAGTTTTTATCATGCCCTTCGCCTGATAAATTTAAATCAAAATGCTGGGTTAATAGCATAACTGTTACGCTTAGGCACATACGAAACCATTATATCTTTTTTCTAACGCAGCAGTAACTCACGTTTAGTAGAACCCTTTTTTGGTTCAATAATTGTTTTTGTGCTATTTTAGTATTTCGTTTGTAACAGCGTGACACGTAAATGTTACTTCCCATATGTCAGTAAAATTATCTTTTATAATTCCTTATAATGCTGTTTTTAGACATCAAGTCTAAAAAAATGCATGAAGGTCGCAAAAATGTAGTTTTAAAAAGTATTTTTATGAAAGCACTGGCAATTTTAGAAATATTAATAAAGCAGTGCAAAACTCGCACTGTAAAAATATTCTGTTAAAAATTCTGTAATTTTCCTTCAGAAAATATCTGTTCTTTAAAACTACAGAAATTTACTGTTTAGCTGCATCGTAAACTGTTAAAAGAGAAGAGACATTTTTTTTCTCTGTTAACAAGTGAAATCTGTATCCATTGATAGAGATTGTATCTGTCGAGTACAGATATATTTCAGTTTTGACTATGAAAAACTTTGGGTTCAAAAAGGCAACAAATAATTTGATACATTGAAAAAGAAAACGAATAGCTTGTATAGTGGTCAAGTATCTCCCCAATGAAATTTCCAGAGGAATCGACTTCTATTTATAAAAAATATTGGACAAAATTCAATTTAAGGGTACAAAAAATCAATCACTACCACGAAACCTATTCCTGTCCATGCGTATGTACTTTTAGAGTAAGTTTTGTGGAACAATAGTCTTAAACCTACCTGGCAACAAGGGAGTGTAGCTTTCAGGCGGGATTAACTCGTTTTCCATATTTTTTTGAGCAAGCTGATCAATTAAGTTACATATTTAAACCATTACTATCTATCTTTAACTACATTTGTTTATAAATTTTTATTTTGAAGAACTCTTTAAAACTTCGGAAAATAACGTTTTAAAATTTGCTTCTAGCTTCATTGTTAAGCAAAACCAGTAAATTATGGCTATTTATATTTGATGGCTATTCTGCCGTGCAATAGGGCACTCCAAGAAAAAGACAACCAATACCTACGCATGTGACCTGTAACGTCAGCACCAACTAATCTTTATCAGCAATATGGAGTGTTAAAGTTGAGCTAAGCTTCTCTACACAATGTTAATTAACGTCAGAGCCGTATGGCACATCGAATTTGCTGAAATATAATTCTTTCAACTCTACTTCTTTTATTTAACTTAGATTTATTATTTGTTTATTTATTTTATTGTAATATATTGTATATATTTTTGTTTTGTGTACCTGGCAACTTCGGTGCATAATAAGTTTGTTTACGTCCCACATGGCTTCGTGCCTGTCTTTGTGTTAGTTATAGTGTAAATATATAGTGTAAATATATAGGGGTAGAATTGAAATCGGGTAGACTATATTTGAGGGTGCCCCTTGTTTCTCGCCAAGTTGTGATTGCGGTTGTCGCCAAACTGGGCGATATTGAAACCCAATCGTGATTCTGATTGGTTTAGATTTTAGCGTTATTTTAAAATGTTCAACGCTATATGTAATTTCAGAGGTCCGTTAGTTCTACGTTAGAAACCGGCTGGCAAGGTTACTTTTACTTCTGTTCAATAAGATCGAAGGTATGTGGGCAGTCCTAAAAAGGGATTTTAGAAAAAAATGTCACAGCCAGTCCGGTACCACAAACGCCTTTTTCGATTCGTATTTCGCCGAATTTATGTGGCGATGGAGATACACCGATTCTATTCATAATAAATTTAGACAGTATCTAACTGCTATTAGAGAATTCCGTGCATCTAAATCTGAGGATATTCAAGCTTAATGAAGAAGTGAGTTGTTTTTTTCCTTTTCTTTCTGTGCTTATTTCGTTAATTTTTGTTTCGATTCAAAATGCATTTTTTTTTTGGGTTTATTAATTTTGCTTACATTGGGTTCATTGCAATTTTATACAGTTTTGGTCGATGTTTTGTTGAAATTTTCCAATGTTTTATTGAAATATCATTATGTTTTGGCCGTTATTCCTGTTACCACGGTGTTCCGCGCAAACAGGAATGGCGCCAAACATAAGTCGCCAATTTCGCCAAGGGGCACCCTCAAGTATATTTTTACCTTGAAATCTTTGTGGAATATAGGCTGTGTTATCTAAGAGAATTGGTACTTGACAGGTTTGGCATACTCGAAATATAATGGAAAGAACAGTTGCTAACGTAAACAAATGCAACGTTTCAACAACAAATCAGGTTCGAGATACCTATACTACGTCACTTGCAAGTATCCTATTGTAAACAATGTTGATTATTTTATTTTTGAAATTTTTGGTTTTAGGATATAAGGCTACAGTTTATCAAGACACTACATTTGTACAAAACATTTTTCCGCTATCTTGGATATCGATTTTGGATTGGCACGAAATGATGAAATCACTTATTTGTGTTGAAGTCGAACATGATTTCAGTTTTGAGAAAATGTTGAAAAAGATTAGTAATAAAATCGTATTTACGATAAGTAATAAAATTGTGAGCCTTTTATTAAACTACTTTGTCTTTGTGTCCAGTGTTGATTGACCATTTTGGTTTTCAGAATTTTGATTGGACGATATAGCTCTGCAATGTATGCGAAGCTACGCTTAATTTTGCAAATAGTTTTTGCTAGAACATAACCAGTTTGGGTGGTGCCAGTATCTCTTACCGGAATTCTTTTGGAATTATAAAGTTGTTTGATGATATTTACATTTATTCATAATATCTGTGAAACAGATTATTACATTGATTTATATTTGCTACTTTTTTTTCGCTTGTCGAAACTTGTTTAGTTCAAATAATATCTGACTTCTTAAAATTTAATATCTCAGGAACTATTCAACTGATTATGCTCAAATTTTGCATTTTTCCATGTAAAATTATATTCTTTAAAATGATGCAAAAAACTGTATACCTTATAATTCAAATTTTTTTCTACCATTATTAACTAAAATAATAAAAAATAACAAATATTTACTAAAGGTTATTTTTGCATGAACAAACGAATTTTATAATTGTTTCAAAATTGTTCAAAACATTTTTCAATTAGCTTGAAAAGTTTTCGAGATATAACGAATTATTCAAAAAGTAAAATTAACATTGAGGGGTTCAAACGTTGGAGTGTTCTCCTGACCAAACTATTGGGACCCTGTTTCCCAGATAGTAGATATCCCATATTTTGGGGATCAGAAATCCGAATCCGTCGAAAAAAATGTACGTTTATTCAGAGAAAGTACGTTTTTGTATCTGATTTTGAAATTTAAAATATCGTCTGCACTCATTAATTAGCATATTTAAGGTTACCCTTCTGAGCCATTAAGATTGAGTCCTAGAGCGTGAAGATACGATCATTAGAATCAAAAGTTAGTGAGGGCTGTCCGTTTTTTTTTGCACACTGTACTAGATAATTTTAACATTGAATCATTGATCATGTCTCGTTTTTATTCGTTGTACTTGGTACATCGGTATTTTGTTGTGTATTTAGTATCCTCAATTTTATGCCTGTGGAATGCTTTTTTGATAACTTTTTTAGACTTTAAGATCACATAATTTGAAGAATAAAGAGATATTTTTTTTCCTTTTTAGACGCTGTTCTGAATCAGATAAAACTACTGTTTCGAAAATAGTAAACTTCAGTATTCTGTGGACATTTTCTTGAAAAGCTTCTATAAAGAAAACGTTTCTTTTTTTCATTATTTTTTCTTTCTTTCCCTTTTCTCAAAGAAACTTAAGTTTATTGTACCCCGTCTTGTAATAGAACGTATGCCAACTGATTTTGATATCACATTTACTTTACGACGATGCCATTTCTTAAAAGTTAATATCTCTGTAAATAATCGAAAGAAATGTCTTCTCATAGAAAACCTTAAAAAAAAGTCTTAAAATTATACAGTATTTTCTATAAGTGTACTTTCTTCAAAGTATAACTTTTGTTCCAATAATATTGGAAGAAAGCTAGTGGAATTGATTAGTTTTCAAAAAAAAAAAAAATCTTTATATATTTGAGATCTAAATTACTGCTACAGTTAGGGGAAGGGGGCCACGGCAGGTTCAATAAATGCCACTTCTTTTGATGGTTCGATCTCCGACCAAAAATAAAACTAAAAAAATTCGACAAAAATGGCGCTATCACGAAGAAATATATCAGGACTTCCAGCAAATACGCGACAAAGATTCTTGTGCGGTTACGGCTGGGACTTAAAAGCTAAAAAGAAAATAATAATAAAAAAAGGAAAGATCAAATGGGAATGAAATAAAAATTTCGAAAAAAGCCATAAAAAAGTTCGAAAAACGTCATCTAGGCTTAATGACATTGATGGTATCGAAGCTCAGAGAATAGAAAAGGAAAAAAAAAATCGCCATTTTCATTATCTCTTTCAAAATGGCGCCTTCCATAACGAAGAGTCATTACATTTGGTTTGAGAGCTTAAAAGATGACTGTTTAGATTCCGATTTTATACGGATCGGGGAGTTATTTTTTATGTTTTTTTAAAAAATATACGGCATTAATGTAGACCTCCTGCACTTCCCGTTCCCATTTATATCATTTATTATTGAATCAGAATTTATTCCGATGCTTTTGGCGAAAATCGATAAACTCGACAAAGGATTTGTGAAATTGTAGAGTTTTGGCTTCCCAGTATATTTGATTAAAATTCGTGTTTTAAATGCAGCAGTTTTTTAAGCGTTTAAATGAGATTTATGATATTTTTTCATTTTTTTCATTATTCCTGACTGAAATGGAATGTTTAATCTCTGTAAAAAAAGCAGTTTAGAGTAATGTACGGTTAAAAAGAACTATTAAAAATGTTTCTTTAAGTCGATCCTATTCACTTCATTTGCCAAACTGTTTTGAGAAAATGAGAATAAAATATTGCAAACTAACTTTAAGTTCTTCCTTCTTTGTTATTTTAAAAAGAGTATCAAAAATTTCTCAATGAACAATCGAATATGCCAAAACAGCAATTAGTTCTCAGAAAGTAATTACTTATTTACCTATATGTGTTACAACAGATCACCAAAGAATAGATCTAGGTCATATAAAGTCACTGCTTATTCATGTATATGTATTACGTACAATCGAATATTTAAAATACGTATGTAAATTTGCAAAAAACTAATCCTAAAAATTGGAATTAGCTCTTTAAAAAAAACTGTTATCCCCCTATATGTATTACGTAGCAATAGAATATTTTAAATCTGTATGTAAATTTGTAAAAAACTAATACTAGAAACTGGAATTAGTTCTTTAAAAAAACTGTTATCCCCCTATATGTATTACGTAGAAATAGAATATTTTAAATATGTATGTAAATTTGTAAAAAACTAATACTAGAAATTGGAATTAGTTCTTTAAAAAAAACTGTTATTCACCTATATGTACTACATACAATCGAATATTTAAAATATGCATGTAAATTTGTAAAAAACTAATCCTAAAAATAGGAATTAGTTCTTTCAAAAAAACTGTTATTTACCTATATGTATTTAATACAATCGAATATTTAAAATATGTATGTAAATTTGTAAAAAATTAAGAATGCACTTTCAGGTGCTGATTGCAATTTCCACAAATCTATTTTAAGTCATGTTTTAAACTAATAAAACTATTAAGTCAGATTAATACATTTATTTAATTATAAAAATATCGTAAATTAGCTTTAAATCCTTCATTCTTTTTTATTTTATAATTAAATTTACAGATTTTCCAATAAATACATCAAATGTGGTATTACATTTTAGAAAGTTATTACTTATTCACCCGTACGTTTTACATCAGAATATTTAGAAGACATAAATGTAAA